CTACACTGCTTGACACCTCAAGCTGAGATCCCTCACACGATCCTCCCTCACAGTCGTTACCTCTGATTTGATTCCTCCAAGCTCACTGCTAGCCTGACTTCACATAGCCAACCCGTTCGAACATCTCCTCTCTCCCGTATCCTCCTCAAACCGCAAAAAATGTCGACCGAACCACCTATGTGACCCTCCCCATTTGAAGACCCATCTAGCCAAAACTATCCACTATATCAACCCCGACCTTCGACCCAGCTGTTCCATCTGGCATCCACAACTGCACCCGATCAAATCCACTAGCTCAATCATGTCGACGCCACCCGAACCTCCCAGCTAAACCAGACCGACCCAAATCCACAAACTCCTACTCTCGATCCCTGTTACAGCCGACCGCACCTCACTTGACCGAATGGCCCGATCCCACCTCTTCACTTCACAGTTAAACTCGAAGCCCTCCTCTTGTTCAAACACCCTTAGCCGGACAAACTTCCTGCTCTATCTGGCCACCCTTCACTGTATCGACCTCTTCCTGCCTCTTCCAACTGCATTGCTCTCCATCCTAACCTGTTGCAGGCGACCTCCCTCTATTTTATTCACTCAAATAACCCTTACATAGTTCAACACCAAAAAACCACCTCAATAGAGAGGAAAAATCTCTCCAATCTCTCCATAATCCCCCACTCTAATTACTACCATTATTATTTACTAAAAAAAGAAAATAAAAGATAAAAAAAGAAAGAGAGAAAAAAAAGAAGAAAAAGAAAAGGAGAGATTTGTGGACGTTTTCGCCATCACCGTAGCCTCAACAACATTGTTGTCGCCTTCCTCGCACAAGGTATAAACTCTCTGGTACAAAACCCCAAAAATTCTATTTTCAGTGTTTGCGGCGCAATGAGCAGACCAACCATGCATGCTTTTTTTAGCATGGTGGGAGGGAGCTCAGTGCAACACAGCGAGGTGGGTGAGCCTTCTACACAATTTTCTTAGCATATCGGGATAAAATTTAAGTACCATACGTGATTTCAACCTAACGGGGAAAATCTACAAATTTTCACACAAGTACCATTGCAACCCATGCAAACCTTTCTTAGCGTGGTGGGATAGAAGATCACGACCATGGTATTGCCAGAACAAAGCCAGTAACGAACATTGTAGACCACCTACGAGCATGAGCAAGGGACTCATGGCGTGCGAAAAACAAAAAACACAAAGAAATACAACAGCCCGCTCATGACTATGAGCATGAATATAATACTTGTGCAAATACAATAGTTCATTTGTTGGAGGAAGAGGGAGATTTGTAATTAACACGCAAACCCTCTTATAGGCGACAATAGGAGGCAAGATTATTAAAATGAATGTTATGGTGTGTTCATGAATAGAATATAGAAGGAGAGCAACAAATGCAACACCCTATAGTCAATATCAACATACAATCAAGCATATTAAACCCTGCAAGTAATTGAAACAAATGCAGCTTGCACATAGTCGATGTCACTTAACTACAAACAAACACACCAAATCCCTATACTTGACGGCGATCGATATGCAATGTCTGAAGGACTCCCTGCAATCACTGATAAATGAGTTGCAACGAATGCAACACACAAACTGGCAAAGGCAATACATTTTTAATGAGTGCAACACGAGCAACGCTAGAAGATGTGTGATGCACGCGATAGTTTGCCAACAAGATGGAAAGGTAACATCAGAAGATTTGAAGTGCACACAATAGATTCATTCACAAGCAATGTTAGAGGATGCTACACTGAGCACAATTCACTAATATACAACCGTTGGTGGCTTCTGAATGCCCATTGTTTGACCACAAGTGGCGTTAACAAAGTTTGCCCTGCACAATAGTCCACATAAATAAAACAACAAAAGACTTGTAGCACAAACACTACAATTCACTTGTGAGAAGAACGGGGAATTCATAGTGTCAAGTTATCATATCAAATGAATTAGTTTACGTACGAGTGATAATGAGAGATTCATGGTGAATTATGTAGCTCACTTACAAGCAAGGGCGCATTCTCCTATTGTTCACCAAACAGACATCCCCTACGAGCTAACTTGAATGATGTGATAACTTAGATAAGGCAAAATGAACTAAAAAACACCTCTTATATACAACAACTCAAGCCTAATTCGCCTCCACGCCACCGGATCCGCAACCCTCGTATAAGCAGACATAAGGCGTTTATATAGCCTTAAATGGAAACTTATACATTTTTCAAACGATCATCACATGCACAATCAACCATATATGGATATTTCAAAGAACACCCCCTCATGCATTGAAGTGCACATTAACGCATTCAGGATATGCATATGCATTTTGCGAATGTTTTGAAAGGCATATAAAGTGCGCACAAAAATGCACTATGCAAGCACACTGCCCAACATGCAATGTGTACTATGCAAAAACATAATCCAACATTGAAGATGTACTGTATAACAGCAGTGCGCTACCCTGACATGTAAACACATCATGCACCACACAAGAGCATTGAATCATCATGCAAATGCATTAAGCAAATAATCAGGCAATGCATGGATGCATTATTCATATATCATGCAAATATACCATACACTATGTTAATGCAATAGGCCACTATGTTGTATATTAACACACAATGCAAGCACGATTAAACATTGCGCAAATATATATGCCAACATACTTACATACATGTAAATGTACAAATGCATATGATAGCATGTTAGCATGCATATGCATTTATGAGTGTGTATGTGAACAAGCATATGTGTCATATACACCTTTTGCACTGCATATAAATAGCTACCATATAAATACAACATGCAAAAGACATTCCAAAGCATATATCTGCATGGGCCCGATGAGTGTGACTTAGGCACACACGTGAACCTAAGTTTTAAGAATGTTGCGCGGGTCAAAAGTGAACCTCAGTTTAAGTCCGAACCTCTTTGAATAGACCAGAGTTGATACGACTTGAGCTACTGAATAAATACACAATCATAGTGCCGACCGAAGTATTTGATTTTATACGTTCATATTAGGCCTTCAAAGTTTATTACACTAAAGGTTCATTGTTAAAAGCATACACTTGATTCTCAATATTTGTATGATAACTCACAACATCAATAATTGAACCCAATTCCCTTTCAACAAGCGGACAGACTTGACACGGTTCAAATGAAAAATACATGATCTATTTAAAAATCCTCGACGATGGTTAGAGGGGACCCCAAACATTTAAAATGTCTCTCAAATTTCCATAAAACAAAAACATTTAAAGGGACAATAAAGTTACCATGATGATAGCCGCATTGAAAGTTAATATCAATCGGAGGGTTTAACCTCTAAATTCCACAAATTACTTCAAAACTCTACAAATATTAAAAAAAAAAAGAAATTAATCATTAAAAAACTAAAACAAAATACTCATCCGACCTCCTCAACAGTTTGTCGAGGTGAACAAGTTTGAAAATCACTTGAGCTCACAAAGAGCGAATATCTAGTCAAGAATATCACTAGCATTTATTCTCAAATCATCTCTTGTCAGTAAGGATGTAGCACGTGTCCTCTAATTGGTGGTGCAGGGACCCTCTATAACTAGATGATTTGCCTCTATATGGTATCACTAAATTATAGTCATGATCAAAGCCCGTATATTCCCTAATGGCTCTAAATCATTAAGTAATGAATCAATAGGATATGATTGATAGGGCAAAAAAATCCTCTGTTAGTAAAGGTGATCTCAAATATGTCTCCTTAGACAAACATTCATCTCAATTCTACATGGTAGCTTTGGACGAAGCAACCCATGGATGCCGGAAAGAATCCTTCGATCAGGTTGGGTCGACTATCTCCTTTAACAAGTAGACTAGGGACCACGATAACTTTGAATGACGGAATCATGGGATCTTGATCGAGTTCATTATCATTCCCCCCACCATTCACTTTAAGTGCATGGAAATATAAATTTTAATTATTAATATCAAATTTTGATGCTACTATACGCCGGATACTATATATCAGTTCGACGACTAGCCTTAATAAAAAGTTGTCTAGTTATTGGAATGGATAATTAACTATAGGGGTTTGCGCTTATAAGAAACATGAACTCAGATTATAAAGTCCTCTAAAAATAAGGGTGAAATCTCTAGGTATTATCTTATCTAAAACCCAATATGCTTTCTGAAGATTTACCTTGGAACTTAAACATTAAAACACTTCACGCCCATGATGCGAAAAAAGAAAGGGGTCACAGAGAAGCTGGGGCGCGAATTTTGGGAGCCCACGAATCCAAGTTCGTCCTAGAGAGGCCTTTGCTAATCATCCAGTATGATCGATAATCATCCAGTACGATCCTAAATGAAGAGTATATCTGATACAATTCATTAATCATCGAGATTAAATTAGGAAACTTAATTAAATACCGTACGCTAAAAGCCAATTCGTACAATACAATTAGTTTAAATTTCAAAACTCAAATGTGCCTAAATTTAGTAACCAAGATACCATGGCGGGGTTACTTAATGTAGCTTATCGTCCTATACAATGTTGTGGTCGTACAATACAATTAGTTATAGTCGATAAAAAATTTAGCTCATTTAATTAAATATTTTAATTAATTTCTGTTTGAGCAGATCATACAGTATGATTTCACTCCCCTGTGTGCTTCTACATGGTTGCTAAGCCAACATACACCTATTATAAATATACAGTCAAGAAAAATAAAAAATATCAATTCTTTCAAACATTGACTGACTTATACAAGAACGCACGGTGTCTTGAGCTTTTATCCTTAACTCCTGTTTGGTGTAGCTATACCTGAAAGGTTAGTGATCTAAACAAAAACATATATCCAACATAAAGTGCAGGAAAAATAAAATAAACATTCAATAATATTTATAATCATCAAAATACAATGTCAGACTCCCGAATTGAGACAATAACTAGCAAGATAGATGCAAGCATGATATTTAAGTAACTCTGACTATAAAGAAATACGCATACTGGAGCTAAATATATGTTAAGAATGAGATGAAACATAGAAACTACCTGCAACATGCCTACGAAATAGTGGGTCCCCATATTTTTGCATCCATATAAAGTCGTCATACATGGAATGGTAAACAGGGTAATCTGCAACATCATTTATGCATTAGGATTAGACTCTCCACCATCTTCTAGGTTTCATAACAGTATTAATCAACAGTTCCTCAGATAGTGCCAGATTCCTTTAGAGGATCAAAATATTTAAAAAAAGAAAATTTGAGAGGAATGATTGAAAGAGACATGAAGATAGCTATGCCATGAACATAACCATGCGTGACATTTTGCAATTCCGAACCAAACCTTACCAAGCCTACAGCATCAAACATAGAAATTCTAGTAATGGAGAACCATATGTCCATAAAGATGCATATTGGAAGTTAGGAATTTGAGTAAAAGGAAACGAAAAAAAGGATAAAAATCCAAAATTAATGGATGCGGATATCTAATAAAGCCACAAATTGTTTGAATTTCACTTCACTTCCATCAAATCCAAACAAAGTCTATGAATGTACCATATTCTCATTCATACACATGAGATATAATTATCAAACTTCAAAAGAGAACTGAGATTATTAGTTATTAGGACAAGGCAGACTTCTAAGAACTAAAATGCAGATAAATCAGAAATCAAGGTAAGAAAATTCAGTTCAACAAATTTAAACCAAAGGGCAATTGTGCATTTACAAAGATAAAAGAATGGATACCTTTTCCAAACGACATTTCAACTGAGGGGACGCCAACATGTTGAACAAAAGCTGCAAAATCAGTTCCACCTCCACCCAACCTCCCTATCTTAAAGAGGATATTTTATCTTCAGTTCAATTGCATGATTAATGATTTCTACAAGCTCATAAGATGCATCTTCCCATTATCAAGAAATCAAACAATTGAGGAAAATCCAAAGGCAATAATCCATTCTAATCATGTTGCAAAACAATTTAACGGTTGCATGAACTGCAAAAAGTCTAATGCGCTCACCAGAGGATAATCGGACATAACCCATGACTCATAGAGAGTTTGTGATGGATTATCAGGATCTTGAACCTGCACAAAAAAAGTTAAAATAAAGGTCACAAAAACTAATAAATTGCAGCATAACTTGTTTTTGTTGGACAGCTAGCCAAGTATTCAGACGTTTTTGTGCCCATGGATGACATGTCCAACTGATGGAAAATGTTGAAAAAGGAACAAAACATAAAAGGACCTTTTTGGCTGCCTCTTTGAGAAGTTCATCAAGTTGTGGGGTTGCCATTGCATGGAACCCAGGACCAGATACTGCTGAGTCAACATTTAAATATGCTACAGCTCTGGAGGCTAAAACCTCCATGTTATCTTCAACCCACTCTGTTGAACCAAGCTGCAGCAATGATGCAAATTTTAAAATGAAGGTGTAAGAAAACAAGAATAATTTAGAGATGAAAGTGTTATGTGGAGGAAGGGAGGTGTCATTGACCAAACCATACTCTTCAGCATCCCAATTACACAAAATAATGGATCTTCGTGGTTTCCATCCTCTCTTTTGCAACTTGTTCAACCTTTCCGCAACCTAAAATGGGCCATAACCAAAACTATGTGATTAAAAGAATATAAAGTGCTTAAAAACATGGGCAATGAAGAGCATTTGCAAGTATCCATGTGATTTGATATGCTTGGTTTGAGAGGTGTCTTCCAATTTGTTCTATCCTTACTCAACAAAACTCTTTAACTACATTGCCCAAGATGTCACTTTTAGGACACAGCAAACATGAGTGGGCTTACAGTCATTTGATATAGGATTTCCTAGGGTTCAGGGATTCCAAGTATATAACTATAAGATGTGTTAACATAAGGATTTTACAATATTGAAAGTTTTTCTTTTCCAAGGGTTCTTCGAGCACACAACATAGAAAAAAACTTAAGAATTCATATCTTAATGGTATAAAGACAATGATAAAAAAGAAATAATTTCTCTAAGATAACGTAGTAGAATTTGAAAAGTGATCACTTGTTAATCTTTCAAGATAGGTAGCTAGGATAAGTAAATTAATATTCTTTAATTGAGCAAACTTCATATCAGGTAGGATGACTAGTTTCATTAAAGGTACTATTATAGAAGTTTTAGAAGAACCTAAATTTATATTGATACTCATAAGGAGATTCCACGGTTTTTTTTTTTTTTTTTTGAGAAACTGCATAAAGCAAATTTTATTGAAAGAAAACAAAGAAAAAAATCCTAAGTGATTTCGATATATCACATTCCTCCTTTAATATATTAAAGAAAATAGGAGGAATATGATTAATATCCAAACTTTCCCAAATAAAGTCGTTATTTCTAGCATAGTTAGCACAACAATCAGCTAACTTATTACAATCTCTATTCATAAATTGAATGATAACTTGATTAAAATTCCTAAGAAAAAAGAAATCATCAATGCTAGTGTTATTACCTTCTTGTATTCCCTCTTTGATGGACTTTTGAATGAATTTTAAAACATTATAATTGTCTCCTTCTATAATGATTTCTTTAGCATCAAACATCCACTCTTGAAGAACGTTTTTGAAGGCTAGAACTGCTTCTAGTTCTAGATAAGAACTATCCCAGTGCATTCGTTTGAATCCAAAGGCAAATAGGAATCTACCTTTGTTATCTCTTAGAACTCCTCCAATACCTGCTGCATAATTGTCTCCAAGAGATGCATCCACATTTAATTTGATCCATTCGGTTGGAGGGGGATTCCAAATAGAAGAAAACAGCCTAAGCTGATTAGAATCCCAGTTGACCGAAATAAGATCATAATTGATTGATGGGGAAGTGAATGATAAAGCATTAGCTGCAACAATATTGTAGCTGTCCTCTTTGTCACAATGGACTAGCTTATTTCTGCTTTTCCATGAATGAAAGATAGCCGAGCAGTAAAGATTACCCAGGAAAATGTTAGAATTTGAAATATCCTTCAATTCTCTAATACAGCAATTAAGATTATTGAAAATTGGGATCTTAAGTCCCCAGCTATTCAAAACCTTCAGAACTTCAAGAATAAAATAGCAATTAACTGCTATATGATTATCATCTTCAATTTGTTTGCAACCTCTTGGACAGCCATTGTGGTTAATGAGTCTTCTATACATTAAAAACTCATTACAAGGAATTGCTTTGTTCAACAATCTCCACCAAAAAAGTTCAATCCTTGGTCTTAATTTTAACTTCTTCAACCATCTCCAATTGGCATTCTCATCTTCATTGATGACTTTTTGTTCAGAAATCAAAGCTGATAAGGATTTCCCAGAAAGTTTAAAAGCAATCTCTACTTCATCTTCAATAATTCTGTTCTGGATCGGAACAAAGCATATCAGCTTCACCAATTCTGGACCGAAAGCTTGCTGAAGCTTAGTTACATCCCAGGTTCCATCTTGAATAAAATTCTGTAAACTTTCTTGTTCTTCCTGCAGATTTGCTACAAAAGTTGGCCACCTATCAATACTTTTGTCAAGGATCCACACATCCTTGGTGGTATTGATGAATTTCCCATCCTTCACCTTCCATCTCAGAATTTTTTTAAGAGCTTTCTCCCTTTTTAATAATCTTCCAAGTAGAAGACTCTCCATATTATTTTTATAATTCATGATATCTGAACCGTATTTGGCAATTAAAACTCTGTTTAAAAGAGATGTAGGATTTGAAATGAGCTTCCAAGCAAATTTAGCTCTCCAATTGTCTATTTTATCAACAGCCGAAATAACACCTTGGCCTCCATATTTTTTGCTTTTACACAGTGCTTCTCAATCAACATAGTGAATTCCCTTACTCTTATCTTGTTTTCTCCACAAAAAATCTCTACTCAACTTGTCTAATTCATTAAGCACTCTCAAAGGAATCAAAGAGTGAGTTGCAAGGAAGGTTGGCATAGACAAGAAAGCAGTTTTGATAAGAAGTAATTTACCAGAAAGATTAAGAAATTGATTACCCCAAAGATTGAGCTTGTCATAGGCTTTCTCCAGCAAACCATGATAATCTGATCCGTTGAGTCTCCTTAACGTCATATTAACACCAAGGTAGTTCAGCTCATTTACAATTCTGATGCCCAGAATTTTTGATAATATCTTCCCGTTGTGCCTCCTCACAGATTTGCCAAGGAATAAAGATGATTTGGACACATTAATCCTTTGTCCAGTACATCTACAATAATTCTTCAAGATTTTTTTGATTTTCTTAGCATTCCTACAATAAGCTATAGAAAAAACAATAATGTCGTCAGCATATTGAAGATGAGACACTATTTCTGCATTTGGAGACACCTTGACTCCAATTTCGGTCCTCTTTGAAAGAATTCTTCTGTTAACAATTGAGAACATAAGATAAACAAAAATGGCGATAAAGTGCATCCTTGCCTGAAACCACAATTAGCTCTTATCCATTCAGTATTCATCCCACTGATAATAATGATGTATTTGGTAACTACTACACATTGAAGAAGAAGCTTTGAAAACTTATCCAGGAACCCATAGATGTACAATACTTGTTCCAAGGTTTGCCAACCCATACTATCATAGGCTTGTTTCATATCCACTTTGATAGCCATCAAGCCTTTTTTAGATTTAGAAAATCTAAATTTGTTGATGATCTCTTGAGTAAGAAGGATATTGTCCGATATAGACCTACCCTTGATGAAGGCAACTTGATTTTCTGAAATGATTTTAGGAATGCAGCCAACTAATCTATTCAACAAGATTCTAGCTGAAATTTTATAGATGGAATTACAGAGACTAATAGGTCTGTAATTAGAAGGATTAATAGGATTTTTGAGCTTGGGAATGAGAATAACATAAGTTTCTTTCCATTGGTTACACATAATACCGGTTTGTAAAAATTGAAAAACCGCCTTCCATATGTCAGCTTTAATGATATTCCAATAAAATTTAATAAAGGAATAAGTAATTCCATCAATACCAGGAGAAATGTTACCTTCAAGATGTTGAACAACTGCTTCCAATTCTGAAATAGAGAAATCAGCCATCAGTAATCCTCTGTCAGCTTCTTCAAGTACTTTGCTTGGTTTCGGCCAACCTGATAGTTTACATTTCCTCAATCTCCATTTCTCCTTGAAGTACCTAAATAAAGTATCTTCAATTTCATTAGGATCCTCACAAATGTTCCCATTGGAGTCTTTAATTTGTTTGATGAAGTTCAAGTTCCTTCTTGCCGAGACCACCGAGTGAAAAAACTCAGAATTAGTCACTTTCCTTGATCCATTTTATTTTAGATCTCTGTTTCCACCAGGAGGACAGTCTTCCTAAGGTAGAGTTGAGCACCTTTACTTTGAATTTCAGCAAACAGATTTTGTCATCTGATAAACCTCCTGAATTTGCTTCTTCTTCTTGTATCTCAATAATGTCTTTCTTCAATTCTTCTTTAAGGGAGTTGAGATTAGAATGTTTAGCTCTACTCTAATTAATAGAGCCTTTAAAACTCTTCTAAATTTAGTGTTCAAAGCATGAACATCATCACCTTTAACAGATTTTCCCAGGATTTTGCAACAATGTCTTTGGAAGCAGGAAATGAGGTCCAAATGTCTTCAAACTGCAACTTTTTTGTATTTTTAAATTCAGAATTGAAAATATTCAGCACTAAAGGGCAATGATCTGAAGCTATTCTCCCAAGATGTCGAACAACAGCTGGTTGTATTAAATTCAATGCGGCTGAGTTGAGAAGACAGCGATCCAACCTTTCTAAGATTCGAGCTCCTCCTTGTTTATTATTGCACCATGAAAATCTGGGTCCAATGATCCCCATGTCATGAAAATCATAGTTATTCATGAAAGCAATCAAGTCTTGAGGTCCTTGAGAGAATGAGAACCTCTTGCCTCCCCATTTTTCCTCTTGAGACAATATACAATTAAAATCACCTCCTAAGATAAAAGGAAGGTGAGTGTTTGAGTGATCTTCTAATTTTTCCCATAGTTGCCTTCTCTCATAAGTATCTCTGCTGCCATATACTGTTGCTATCATCCAATCTCCTTTGTTAGGAATATTAATAACTCCAATTACAGCTTGTGTAAAAGAATACAAAACATTGAAGGAACAAAAGTTCCTTCTCCAAGTAATGAGAATACCGCCTGGCAGGCCATCAGCTGGGACGAAGAAAAAATCCCAACTATCACCAATGAGTTTATTGACATCTTGTCTATCAAAAGAAACAACCTTCGTTTCTACAAGTCCCACAAAAAAGGAATTATAATCTTTAACAAATTCCTTTAAATACCGGGAGGCTTCCGACTTTCTGGCCCCCCTACAATTCCAGAAAGCTAGGGACGTCATTTGTTTTTAAAAGTGGAATTAATTCCACTTTTAACCTTTTTAGCATTTTCACCTTTCCTTTTTTGAGAGAGAATATTATCCTTACCCAAAGAATTGAGCTCTTTGATCAGTTTTCCTTTGGATTTAGAAGAATCATTCAACTCCAATGGTACTTCAGCAACAAAACTTTCCAGCTTTAAATCAGGAATTTCTCCTTCTTCTATTTCACCTTTCTCTGTGTCCAAGCTAAAGTCTCCTTCACTAGCTAAGTT